ATATATATATATATATATATATATATATACAAGTTTTTTTGCACAGGTACTAGGACTAATTTTTTTCTGCTAAAGCATTAGCAATAAAAAAAGTTGAATAGCTGCAAGAAGTGATAAAAATTTAAAAACACTATGATAAGAAACATAAAAAATTTACAAAAAGTGCTTTCATAATTGATTTTAAAACCATAACTTAAAAGTAGACAAGTTACAAATAAAAGTTAAAACTGTTATACCTGATAATTACTGTCCCAGTCATCGTCATCTATATCCGGCTTTTCATGCGTGTAGGCCGGTTCTTTGTAAATATACGATGGACGATACTTTTCCAAGTCATCATGTACTGTTGGCCTTATTTTATGTTTTGGTTCTTCCTTAAGGTTTGTAGTAGTTTCGCTGATTGGCGAGGCAATACTTGGAACGCCTTGCTTTGTTGCAATTACTACCTAAATGTATTAAAAGTTTTCCAATTGTAAAGCTGTGACTATTATCTTAACGAGTTTTTACCGTTTATGTACATAGTTCTAGACCAGTAGCATTTCACATCCAAGAAATAAACAATTCTATTCTCAAGAAGCAAACTGCAGTACTGTAAAACAAATTTTTTGGCAACAGTAATTTACCTCCATCGCATACTCTCTTCCCGGTGACAGCATAACAGGGCTTTTAGTTCCGGGTAACGAACGTGGACTTCGTGGACTTAACGACTGACGTGTACCTTCAACTCCTGTCAAATGAATGTAGCTACTTTATATAATTCAAATAAAAAGAAAAAAGAAAAGAAAATAGCAAAGAAAAACTTGACTAATTTTTTTGATCATTTGTCAGATAAACCTAAAATTATATCAAGATTGATATGTAATGAGAAAATTAATGTGCTATAGTTGTGAAGTTGGAAAGAATGTGGAAAAAAATGATGAGAAAGCGCAGCAACACTAAAGTGAATAGGTTTTTTAAAAATAAAATGGAAAATAAAAATAACCGTCGAGCGCATGAGGTCTTGTTAGCCCTTCCAGAATCAAGGGTGCTCCAACTGGAACCTTTGGATCCATTTGCATTGGGTGTGTCGCCTGCTTTGATGGATCGTAAATGGGAAACGGTTGAGTTACAGATTTGGCATTTGCGCTCAGACTATCTGGTTTATCAAATCCCAGCCTAGAGGACGGTTTTTCGTCACTTTCACCCAAGCTCTGCAACATTTCTGCTTTAAGTGTTTCTCATTGCATAGCAATTGATAGTGTATTTAATAAATTCTATAATAACTTATTACATCGATAGATTCTAAAACGTATCTTGTTAACTGTGTTACTAGAGCAAAAAATTTCGTAAGGCTATTTCTATAGAACTTTATTAGAATGTCGGAAATAATTGTCATATATGTTAAAAAAAAATATTCATTTTTTATAAAGTAATTTAAAAAATGTGAATATAAGCAGTACTTAATCTAGAAACATTGATTAGAGGACCAGCAGTAAGAAAGAGTATACATTTACAAAGAAAATAACGGAGGTAGCTAAGACTGATTTTTTTAATTTATACCAAGGATTCTATAGCAACTAAAGTGTCAGTTACCATACAGTTGAACCGAAATATATTTTAAATACAGTAAATTATGTTGCTCTTCATTTAACTAAATAACTGTTTAGTTTTTGTTTTTAAAAGCTGCACTTATAGTCAATAAAAGAAGGTATTTCTAAAAAAAAAGAACAAAAAAGAGTGGTAAACGGAAGAAAAAAGTAATTAAACAAGTTATAAAGTGAAATTAACAAAAGTTGTGAGATAAAATAGATTTGTTATAAAAATTTTTACTGTGCTGCATAATAAGTGTAATTATTATTATTACTATGCCCAAAAACGTTAATTTGTTAACAATAAATGTTGAGAAAAGGATAAGTGTTATTACAAGATTTTCCTGAATAACTGTTCCAGAAAACCTTATTCTGCCTTGTTAGTTTGTTCTTTGTTGAAATAGTAAATATGTCTTAGCAGTAACTGTTAAAACAAAGTTTTTTGTCTTTCGAAGCTAAGCTGTTTTTAGAAGTAGGCAAAATCTCACCGTTTTTCCTCACTCCCTTTCGCTACAGACCAATAAAGCCTTTGCAAAAACTAACACTTACTTAGGTGAGGAAAAAAAGTCAAGCAAAGAGCATTTATTGGTGAGAAAGCAATTGAATTTCTGGTGGAAATCTCAAGAATTTAAAAAAAATTTAATTGATCGTTTCTTTTTCTTAAGTTTTTTTCTTTGCTATGTTATGTTCACCAAAAAAAAGTTTGCTCAAAAAAAAAACCAATATCACAGGAGAATAAACTCTACAGAAAAAATTATGTATTTTATTTGATAAATATAATAGTTTAATCTGCAGACAGTCAAAATGCAAAATTCCCGACAATATTTGATGTAGTTTAAAAAAAAATTATAAATTACTTGTAAACTAAAACAGATTTTTCGAAAATATAGAGAGTTCACAAAAGAGAGCAGACTTGAAGCTGGCAGACGAAGTTCAAATATAACTTTCACACTGCATAGTTTTCCTACACCGCCACTAAGGTCTCTAAAGCAAACCTTAAGCCAAGCATCTGAATACTTTAGATGTTGCACAGCCAACTTATTAACAAACTATTTGATTGTCAATTGAAATTTTATACCTTGACCGCAAAAAACAGTAATTGAAAAAAGAAAAAATAGAAAATTTTGTTTAAACTGGTACAGAAACAGTGAAGAAAAGTTCTCTGTAGTTTTCTCACTAGAATTTTACTGTTAATTTTAATAGCCAAGAACACAGTGTAACAGATGCTTTTATGTGTGTCCAGACAAGCACCAAAATTTCTGGAAAAGATTTACACTTTCTATCGTTACTGTGCGTAGAAAATAATTTAGGATAGCGTATTATAACAGTGGTTTCAAAGTAACTGTTTACAGAACGTTTTACTGTATTTGCAAAAGGAAAAAACCGAATAAACAACTGAAAAAAATCACATTTTTGGCTTTGCCTGGACTCTGTCATTTCCAAACTGTTATACGGATATACTCAAAAAAATAACTAGCGCTTAAGTTTCATGTCAAAATTATTCGGTTTCGGTACTGCAAACAGTTGAATTTTGTCAACAAAATAATTCAAAAAGACTAAACAAACAGCGTGTTGAAATACATATAGTTTTCAGACAAATATCCGAAAATTTTTTTGAATACCAAAGATACTTATTGGATTTACAAAG